GTTGCGTCGGTCTTCGTCAGCCGTCGTTGTGCTGCTACTCCCCCGGCTGGCAGAGGGCAATGAGCAGGTTCTGATCGCTGACTTTTCGCAGTCTGCCTCAGTCACCCAACAGCCTGCGCGACCCTTGCTAACCCGGGCGACGATCGAGCCGGTATAATTTTCGATGGCGTCAATACTATGAGTGGCAGATGGCTAAATTTTAAAATTTAGCTACCCCGTGACATTGAGGTTGTTTTATTTATTTTGATTATTTGCCCTCGCTAATGTGTTCGGACTTTAATATGCTCTTGTTCAGCCCAACAAGAAGATGCGGTCAGACGTCATATGCACTGCAGGGGTTATTATTTTTATTTATGGTATTATACCAAGTTATTTTTAATATGATATATATATACCAAGATTATTTTTAACGTGATATTCAGCGGCGGCATCGAAATCTCTCCCAGACCATCGGGTTTTTATTTTTTCACTCATTCGGGTCATGGCAATCTTCTTTCTTTACACATATTTTAGTTCACCTCATGTTTGAGGCGCTGTCCTGGGTCCTGTGCACAGAGCCGGCGCTTAAATACCATGGAGACGTGACCTACTTAAATTTCCCCCTAGGCGTCTAGCAGCAAGGGACGGTGCAGTGGACCTTCTGGTGGAAAGGGAAAAATAGATTTTTCTTTACACTGAATTTTCGCCGTTTCAATCTTGTATCACTATATATTTTTAATAAGACTGTTTCTGATTTTAGATTTTTTTTGGTTTTTGAAATGCATCATATGGAGGAGTTGAAGAGACCTGGGAAAAATTCTGGGAATCGCTGAAGAAGTCCATATGACTTATGTTCTCACCCAAATTCTGCCCTTTAGCGCTCAAAATAACTAATCTGCTTTCGTTGATTAAAAACATTTATGACCCAAAACAGTGAGCTATTATTCCAAAGGGCTGTCTGCTGTGAGTGCTAAGTTACGGATGTTCCAGAAAGCGACGTAGGAGCTGCTTACAAATCAGAAGAAAAAGTAGTCAGTTATTCCACCAATTGAAACGGCCCATATTTCGTTGCAGTACTGCATTATTAGGTCAGAAAAACATATTCATGC